TATTAGGTGTGTAATNTGTGTAATGNGTTNTAGTGTGTGTGTGTAGTGTGTATATNTAGTNTANTATATAATATATATAATATATATATATANAATCATATTATCATATTATATATAAAAATGGCATTGACACTTCACGTATTTCCTAGAACTGTTGCATCGACTAACCCGTCCACTCCAGCGGATACAATCACTTGCGAAGTCCCGGCGAAGAATGCTCCACATGCAGATTGCGCACTTGCAGTCCTCATATTGGTAGTGTGCGCGTCTGATATTATACGGGTTGGTTGCACATCTGTGCGAATGTATAATTTGAATCAGAATTTGTAGTCCCCAACTGCTTGACTTCATCCTTCTGGTCAACTATTGCGGTTCGTTGTGGGATATAGCGCACACTCATAGATGAAAAAAGGATGCTTGTGTAATCATGTATATCATGTCCATTTGCAGAGATGGAAAATCAGATGAGGGGCAGTATCGTGTTCATCGTGCTGACGAATGTTCATATGGCAACCGTGCAGTCTGAACGCAGATACCACCAACACGGCAAAATGACTCGGTACATGTACCACCATATTGAACTCTGGTAGCGATTGTTCTTCACATTCAGGTACTATATACAGCAATACAGAGCAATAGAAAACATACTGCTTCCTTTGGCAGACGCGACTCGAGTATCCCATAGCGCGATAGCACCATCTCGTGAACATGATACAAAGATACCTGTGATAACAATATTCAGAATAGCAAACAATGAGATTTCACTCTGTAGTTGCACATATTTGGAGGTTACGGTGGCTCAGGGATTCAGAAGCAAACTTAAATCTTAAGGAGCAAAATATGCAAAATACCAGGAAACTTTCTGGTACGCTTGTGAATGAGAAATGTGATATCAAACGGTGAGTATTGTCATGTCAGACATAGGAATTTTGAGGATATGCCCATTATAGCACCAGTAGATTTATTCTATCTAGAATTGGGTCAGGTTTTAAATATATCTATCAATATATCTATCGAACCTCGCAAAATAGGCGCTACGGATTTCACTGTTTGAATCTGGCAACATAAACATATACTAAATGATAAAATTCAACTTAAACTCATACTCTTTAAACATAGGCAATACAAATACAACCTAACTGGATCCAAGCAACATGAAGACATACTCTCTGAATCTAAGCCGTTTAAAAACATACTACGTGATTACAGGCAACATAAACACCCACTGCTTGAATGTAAGCAACATAGACATATACTACTTGAATTCAGGCAACATACGCACATTCTACGTGATCCCAGGCAACATTTGCACATTCTACGTGATCCCAGGCAACATTTGCATATAATACGTGATTCCAGCGAACTCAACAACTTCTACTAGAATTCGGGCAACATCAAGACATTCTGTTCTAATTCTGGCATAGGCAACATAAATGCAGAATTTCTGCATTTAGGCTATATGTAGAAGCACGAAGACATACTGCTTGAATCCTGCTGGAACCGACACGAGCGCACGCTACCCTTGTGGCCATTGAATGTGCTGCTGGTGCCTGTCTCGACATCTGTTAATTTCACTGTCGAGTCGCCCCCTGCGCTCAGCTGAAAGAGAGAGAATATAGTGCAATCAATTATCCGATTTTCCGATCCAATAGAAGAGCATTTTCAAATTCAGAAGAAAATGGTAGATTGATCAAGCGATTTTTAATTGATCAATCGTGATTCCGTGACTCGAAACGTTGCTATGATCAGAATTCGTGATTCCGTGACTCGAAACGTTGCTATGATCAGAATACGTGATGTCAGAGTCAGTCTCTTCCTTTCGCACCAGATCCACATACTTTGTTATTTGCTCCAGCCCCGCAGTGAATACTTTCAACTGCACACTCTCACTGTGATTGTTTAGCCCATACTCCCGTTTAACAAACACTTTTGCTCGTTCTTACACCACCACACACGACTATTTTCACCGAATGCCAGTCGATTGGAAGTACGTATGGGCCACTCCAAGCAGAACTATGCTAGGAAGCTATGTGCACAAGCGTTTCTTCCCGCACAAATACGTAGTAGACCCGGTAACCCCTCATAGAAACACGAATTGATGCTTACACCTTCATGTATGTGCTACATTGCCACACGCGGCTAAGGCTAGATTCTAAAGGGGTTTTTTCGACAGAGGGAGAAATTTGATCGGTACATGCGTTTGAATATACAGATTGTGTCAATACGGCAAGAAACATGACAAACACGCTCATCTGGCATCAATCGCGTGCACACTAATATCCCGGATAGTTAATACGCTTACGAGTTCAGATACCAACACAAATACGTCCATATGAACATAAACATACACACATCATCAAACACACGACAAATGCACATATACACTACCATAAGTACGCACAAGAAGCCTACCACATGCGAATTCCCCGCCCAGCTGACATCAAACACGAGCCCTCGGTGAACTGGTAGGCTCTTCTGTGGTATACCCTTCGTAGCCAACTCTTCTGGACTGAGCTCTGTGGTTGTGTATGGTATGCTGGACGATTCTTTGTACACAAACAGGTGTCCCGACTCACCACCTACAGCCAATAACGGCTTGTGCGTTGATCCTCCTGTACGTGTACCATTATGGTTACAGCGTATGGAACAGGGAACCGTTGTCAGTAAACTGGCATGTAGATGCGAACGACAATGGACTGATTTGCATGATACACATATCGATCGACGTTTCTAGGGCAGAGCTTTAATGCATGGTATGTCTAGCCTCAATACGCGAACATGTAATCATAGGGTAAGTTAGTGTGTAGTGGTATGCCTAGTATATATATGTATATATATATATATATGGTGGCATGTAAAGCGCTGTCAGCGTCGGAGTGCTACCTTTTCCATACACGGTGTAACTCTCTCGAAAATTACTGAACACTCGTGCACAAGATTTTGAGCAGGTGAATACAGTGCACTGGACGTACTGTCGTATAAATGTTTATAGAGCCAATCGCATACCGCAATGTGATAGTGTTGGTGTACAAAATCTGTATAATATAATACCAATCTAGTCTATTCTAATTGCAGACATGCTTCAATACAAAGGCACAGAACGTCATTCTCCCCATAGGTATACCTGATGAGTAGGCGCAAGCCGACAAGAGATCCGGTAGACCCTCATCTGTCAATGGCACGAGCCGGCACCCAGGCACTGTTTTCATATCAACAACTTTTTTGACATACAAATTCTGCGCATATTGGCCTGAATAGATATATTGGAAGGAATTTGATACGGTTTAAGTCATGTCAACAGCCTTTTTGACATACAAATTCTGCGCATATTGACCTGAATTGATAGTTTGGAAGCAATTTGATACGGTTTTAATCCTACAGCCAAATCTTATCGGAGCGAATATGCGAGAGTGTAGTCAACAAATAAATATACGTGCCACCTTCAAAGAAATCTCCGAGAATTGTGGTTGTTAACACGTAAGTACGCCTCCACTGCGACAAGAGAGAAAACTCTACCCCGTATCAGTGTATAGTACGATCAAATATCTCAGCACGCAAGGTATTCGAGAAATACCAGCACGAGCTCAGACTCGAATGAGGGCAACATATAATACCCCCCCCCCCTCCCCCAACGGGTGATAATGTATACTATCTGATCTGAATGATAGATATCAAAGCAAGTGCATTCGAATGTTGCTTATGGCAGCCACATAGAATCTAAATACGATTGCAAACCATCAAGGATACGAGCATAGTGAGTGGAGATCGCTAGGGGGCATACAATCAAGAGTGATTCCGTTGGCTCAGCGCAGGCGTGTGTTTCTTATAGGATCAGTACCGATTGAAATGACACCCAATCGCCCGTAAAGGTTCGCTACGGTTATACCAACTCTTATAGTAGCGAGAGCCATATAATGGGTCTTGAGAGGTTTCAGGCGTATATACATGCTATAAATTCCCTTTCCGTGCGTTTTCACTGGGGGGGGTGTGATATTACCTGTGCTTTTAAATAAACGTTTAGACAGAGTATCAACTATCCAAGCTTGTAAAACTCAACTCCGCGTACAAGTTGTAGATAGCCAAAGACGATAGTGTAGACACACAGAATACTAATATGGCAGAAACCTTCATAGATGATTGATGCGTACAATCGCGAGCGCTCCAACAAAAGCGACCTATTGAACAACTCTACAAACCATATATGTATGCACACAGACGGTTTACGTTCTACAAGATACTAAAGCATGATATAGACAGGTATATAAGGACGACTATGTGATACGATGAAAGCACCAATATCAAATCAGATCAAAAGTACTGTCTTGTGTAGACAGGCGTTGTGAAATAAGCCTTACAATCGAATTTTTGACGCTGCTCATACCAAAGGAAAGTTTGCGCTACTTGAACACCATCAGATATACAACACACGACCCAAAAAAAATTACAAAGTGCCGGAAACTGCACATTCTGTTCAGGTGTTCTATTGGCACACTATCCTACCACATACATTTTTAGAGCGAAACTATTGCGATCACTCACTTGAATTCTGCACCATGGTATACTGCAGGTGTGGGTGGGTGGCTATGTACACGCGTACATATTAACATAGTGATATTCACGTGTGGGTTGATATTGACTCGTAGACGCCAGTACAGATTGTGCAAACGTACCTGTGCGATTGCCGTACATCTCTCGTCGCATCGTACTCTGTCTATACCACCCCATAGTGACAACCCCTAATCCGAGGGCAACGCTACGTGCCTCCTCCAGACGATATACCAGTATATTAGCTTGTGCGCAATGTGTCTATCGAAAGGCAAGAAGCTCGATTGAGAAGAGTCCAATGTATCGTGTGCTACAGGTATGGGTTTAGGTGTATGTGTGTGCGTACTGTGTCTAACGGAAAGCGCCAGTGAGACGAGTAAACTTTAGCGTGTACTACCGTATAGGTGTAGGTGTATGTGCACCGTGTCGATTGATTAGATACTATCGCAGTGTGGAATACAGGCGTAGGTAGAAGTAAATGTGTAGAAAGTGTCCCAGTGTGCAGTGTACAGTAGCATCCCAATTTGAGAGCCTCCTGATAGACTACAGCGGATTGTACGACTGTGATATTTGTAGTGTCCTGCAAAGCTTGCGTGATAACCTATAATCAACTCGATCACAAGATAGAGAGGTGTTTTCCTAGATCTGTAGTTTCGTTCAAAGCTAGTGTGGTAAGCTACAACATGACCACTCGGTAGTGGTGCGTTTTCCTGTGAGAGCACAAAGAACTGTATCTTCTTAAAAAGGAACCTGACCTTTTACCCTGGTGATTTGAAACTCTCTTTGCTGAAGTACTGTATTTAAAGGGATTTTCACAGGCTACTATATGTGGCTTAGGTGCATGCGAAATTGTTGCTTCATTCATACACCGTCTTATAAGTCCAAGGCTGAGTGATGTAATCTGTTGTTATTATTAGCATATCCCCATCGGTGTGTTCATGCGTACACACGATATGACGGATCGTGCCTTCAGTTATAAGTGGTTTCATTTGTTTGTCCTTATATAATATATGTTTGTGTATTTCTATCCCCAAGCGCAAGGAGGAACGTAATCAGAATTAAAATATAGCCGCACAGCTATTGGGGTGAATACATAACCTGCCCTGGGCCCTGGCCCTGAACTCCTGAACTCCTTCTGAAAGCCTGTGAACGTCTGAAGCTCTCGCCTCCCCTGGGGCCCTGGGGCCTTGGGGCCTTGGGCTTGAACTCTGAACCCGAACGACTGAACGACTGATCAGTGAACACTGAAATACTGAATCCCGCCACAATAGACCACATAGCCTGACTTTGGTTTGAGGATCCAATCACATTGCGCGTCAAGCCCGCCTAAATAATCAAACCCTAAAATAAAATAGAAACACGATAGATACATTTATGATTATTTATGTACATACATAGAAAAACCAAAGCCACTGGCCTTCTGAAATAGAACTTCCTTTTTTTTTAAATAAATTAGAGGCAGCAATAACAGTATTATACGAAACAGACTTTAATATAAGTAAATAAATATGTAGAGTATAGATAACTAATGCTTGTATCGTATTCAATAGTTACAACTGTATCGAACCCAAATTGAACTACGCGTACTGTTGTTCAGTTCATCTTCTTTAGGGGAACATTATGAATCTGCTACAAAAGGAAGTGATCGGAGACTGGGAGATCTCGACTGTAAAGGACCGCATCAGTAACTCGAACGAACGAGATACGTATGTTAAAGAGTATACAGTGTTCTTCAATGTCTAATATTGTTTCATCATCAAGGACATATTAATCTGGCATTATATTGTAAAATATGCACGAATTGTGACATTCAGAGCACGTCAGAACACAGTGTGCCTGTTCTTTCCAAAATACCATATATTCATATACGCGCGCCAAAGCTTGATAATATGAAAATATACACATATATATATATATATATATGTGTGTGTGTGTGTGTGTGTGTGTGTGTGTGTGTGTGTGTGTGTGTGTGTGTGTGTGTGTGTGTAGTGTGTGTGT